CGTGGTGAAACCCCATTGCTACTAAAAATACAAAAAATTAGCCAGGAATGGTGGCGTGCTCCTGTAATCCCAGCTACTCGGGAGGCTGAGGCAGGAGAATTGCTAGAACCCGAGAGGTGGAGGTTGTAGTGAGCCGAGATCTCGCCATTGCACTCCAGCTTGGGCAACAAGAGCGAAACTCTGTCTCAAAAAAACAAAACAAAACAAGCAAAACAAACAAACCAACCAACAAAAAGAAAGACCCAAAACTGTGAATCTGCATAGCAAGGAAGACAATCAACAGAGTAAAGAGACAACCTACAGAATGAGAAAAAATATTTGCAAATTATACATTTGACTAAGGGTTAATAAGCAGAATTTATAAGGAACTCAAATAACTCACTAGCAAAAAACCCAAATAATCCAATTTTTAAAAAATGGACAAACAACGTGAATAGATATTTCACCAAAGAAGACATACACATGGCCAATAGGAATTTAAAAAATGCTTAACATCACTAACCATCAAGGAAATGCAAATCAAAACTACAATGAGATTTTGCATCATCCCAACTAGAATGACTATGATAAAAGGACAAAAAATAACAAATGCTGACAAGGATGTGGAAGAACAAGAACTCTTATGCAGTAATGGCAGAAATGTAAATTAGTTTAGCCATTACGGAAAACAGTATGGAGGTGCCTCAAAAAACTGAAAATACATCTACCATATGATCCAGTATTTCCACTGCTGGGTATATATTCATGAACAGCCATAGTCATCAAGCTCATATTGAAGGATAAACTTTAGCCTGGATTTATCAGGCCACGAAATGAAATAATGCAATCTTCTTTTGTTTTGTTTTGTTTTGTTTTATTGAGACAAAGTCCTACTCCGTCACCCAGGCTGGAGTGCAGTGGCGTGATCTTGGCTCACTGCAACCTCCACCTCCCAGGTTCAAGCAATTCTCATGCCTCAGCCTCCCGAATAGCTAGGATTACAGGCGCATGCCACCATGCCCAGCTAATATTTGCATTTTTAGTAGAGATGGGGTTTCATCATGTTGGCCAGGCTGGTCTCAAACTCCTGACCTCAGGTGATCCATCCTCCTTGGCCTCCCAAAGTGCTGGGATTACAGGCATGAGCCACTGCACCTGGCCTAAATCTCTTAACATTCCTCCCTGTATCCTTAATCCCTCTTGCCATCTACATACACATTCTTTGCATTTTGGAAACTGGCTCACCCTAATAAAGAATAGCAAGAGTTTTTACTTTTTTAAAACAGCAGACAAAAAGGGAAATAAGTGACCACAATGTTCATAAACAAATTAGGTTCTCCAAACCTCAACAGTAACCCTTTTACTCAGCAAGTTAATAAGAATTCTCAATATTTTGGGAAGGAACTGAGAAACATGCTTAAGAACAAAATGAGCAGGGTGATTGCACATGAGGAAATTGGCTTCAGAACAGAACTGATCATCATCCTGAGAAAAAAGGAAATACACATTCTGCAAGGGTTGCTCATGACTCTTACTCCCAGATCCATCGATCCTGCTGGTTTCTCCACCTCTGAGCCCCCTTTTTCCTTTGGGGAGATCCTCAACTCTCTCTTGACGACCCAGACCTTGGAGAGTAGAAATTTTTAGAAATTCTAGTTCAATATTCTGGGACCCAGGATTTCTATTCTTGGTGTAATCTCAGGATAACCTCACGTTCTAGGTCAGACAGTTCAAGTCCTGGCGATTGTAGGTCCTCATCCCAAACTTATGTGTCAGTTTGAGAAACTGAGTCCCTCCCCTGTTCACTGTGTCTAAATCCCCGTGCTGGGAACCTCTAGTCAGAGACCTTGTCTTTTTCTTGACAGACATCCCTGCTCTGGCTTCTGGACCCCAGCCCTGGGATTTGGCTCCTGCTTCCTTCTGCTAGACTTTCATCCTGTCTGCCCACTCTGAAGGCCATTTCATCATCAGCTAAGCCATGACTACTACATGAATCCTCATTAGAGTGAGGATACGTTCTAACACTTGGTAGAAAACTTGACCATGTTTAGGAAAAATGAAGATTCCTAGGCTCCATCCTAAACCCTAACCCTAACCCTAGGTTCCATCATTATTTTGATTTAGTGGGCCTAGGGCCTGGGAACCTGCATTTGTAATGAGTCTCCAGTGACTCTGATTCAGCCAGTTTACTGACCCGCGTTTCAGAAACTTTCTCCAAAACCTTCTCCTGATTTAAGAAGTGTGGGCAGTGCTTTGGTGATAAAGTGTGTTGGAATGCTCCATTTTGGTGATTTATCAGGGTCTTAGGATTCCAAACACAGGAAGACGTGGCTCCAAGGGCAGGTGGCCTTGTGGGAGGGGCAGGGTAGTGGGCAACGCTTCGTGTCCAGATCTCTGGGGGCCTGAGAAACTGTCTGAGAGAACGGCCTCTGAGCCACGCTGCCTGAGTTCTCATTCTGACTTGGCCACTTCCTGGCTGGGGAGTCTCTCTGCACACATACCACATTTATAAAGAAGATGCGATGTCAGTGCTTGCCGTTCTTCTTATTTTTCCTATATCAGGAACAGACAAGGAGGGGCGAGGACCAGAAGCAGGCAGGGTATGCTCCTCATCTCTCTTCCTTCTGACCAAACAGACCTCTCTCACCTCAGGGCTTTCCACTTCCCGTTCTTATTCCTGGAGGGCTCGTACTGCGGGTAATTCTTGCTCCCTCACTTCGCTCACATCTTTTGTCAAATGTCACTTCCTAGAGGGCCTCTCTGTGAACACCCCATCCAAAGGAGCCCTGGCCCCAGCCCTACTTCATATTGCTCCTTGTTACTACCTGACATTACAGTACATAGTTTTCGTTCTTTACCATTTTCCTCATGTTGAATGTAAACTCCATGAGGACAGGAACTATTGTATTTTTTTCATTGCCCCACCACTGTTCCAGGTGATGGGAATGCGGCAGTAAAAATAATAATAATAATAATCCTTGTCATTCAACAATAGTTGTCATTCAACAAAATTTTTTATTTATTTATTTTTTTTTTTAATTTTTTTTTTTTTTTTTTGGAAACAGAGTCTCTCTCTGTCGCCCAGGCTGAGTGCATATTGGTGGGATCTCGGCTCACTGTAACCTCCACTTCCCGGGTTCAAGCGATTCTCCTGCCTCAGTCGGGTCTGGGCTGGGACTATAGGCGTGCACCACCACGCCCAGCTACTTTTTGTATTTTCAGTAGAGACAGGGTTTCACCATGTTGGCCAGAATCCTTGGTAGGTGGATTGCCTGAATCCGGGAGTTTGAGACCAGCCTGGGTAATATAGTAAAGCCCTGTCTTAACTAAAAATACAAAAATTAGCTGGTGTGGTGGTGCGCACCTCTAGTCCCAGATACTTGAGAGGCTAAGGCAGGAGGATTGCTCTTAAGCCTGGGAGGCTGAGGCTTCAGTGGGCTAGAATCCTTGGCCTTAAGTGATCCATCCGCCTCAGCCTCCCACAGCACTGAGATTACAGGTGTGAGCCACCGCGCCCGGCTGGCATTCAACAAATATTAAATGAATAGATGAATGAGTGAGTGAATGGATCTAGCCTTCTCCCTGCCTTCAGCGCCTTCACAGTCATTATTCTAGGGCTTTTCTTTCTAGGGCAGGTTTCTTGACAGCAGTACTGTTGACATTGGGGGTCAGAGAAGTCTTTGGCATGGAGGTTTTCTTGTGCACTGCAAGGCATTTAGCAGCATACCTGGCCTACTAGATGTCAGTAGTCCCTGCTCCATGCCCCAAGCTATGACAACCAAAAATGTCTTTAGAATTGGCCAAACAACCCTTGGAGGCAAAATGCCTGGTTGAGAACCACTGGGGGAGTATCAGGCTGACTGAGCTAGTATAATGGTTTTTATTATTAATATTATCCATAAATAGTTAAAAGTGGATGCTTAGGAATTAAAAAAAAAAGGTTAGGACATCTGAATGAAAGCCACTGAATATCCTGAGTCCTTGATAAAGCCAAGAATTTCAACCAATTATTATTTGATGATTACAATAAGTGGTTGTAATTGTTCAGGGAGTCAAAATTACTAAACATGATTGATTTGGCCTGGTTACTGTATTTGACTAAAAAGAAACACAGACAAAAACTTACCATAGTCCTCAATCCAGAGTTCTGTAGGCATACAGAAAGGCTCTAACACATCACATGTGTGGTTGTAATAACTCGTCTCCTGATCAGACTGATCTGAGATTCTAATTTTAAAAAATGTAAATTGGCCAGGAGTGGCGGCTCATGCCTACAATCCCAACGCTTTGGGATGCCAAGGTAGGTGGATCTCCTGAGTCCAGGAGTTTGAGACCAGACTGGGTAATATAGTAAAGCCCTGTCTTAACTAAAAATACAAAAATTAGCTGGTGTGGTGGTGTGTACCTCTAGTCCCAGATACTTGAGAGGCTAAGGCAGAAGGATTGCTTAAGACTGGGAGGCTGAGGCTTCAGTGGGCTATGATTGCACTACTGTAGTCCAGCCTGGATGACACAGTGAGACTCTGTCTCAAAAAAACACAAACCATACCTAACATTTGATAATACATATTGCCTTTTGACAATATACACCTTAAGTTTCATGACCCAGTAATTAAAACAATTTTTTTTTGTTATTTTCTATACATTTTCTAGGACATCTTGCAAGTTTCTAATTTCCAAAAACTTATTATGTTGGAATGAGCCCAATAAATAAAGAACTGAAAACTTTTTTTAGTCTTATCAATAAAATTATAAATTAATTTGTTTAAAATGTGGAACTTTCATTATCAGAAGTGAAGAAATCCCCAGACAGATTTACCTTAAAGTTTTAGGTTCGGATAGGAGGCTTTGGGGAAAATGCCCCAAATTGATAGAAATGTTTCCCTCATTGCTATTTTGGTTGAACAATTTCTTATTGTTACACATGTGGCTAACTACATAACATTTAACATTTTCTTCCTTGAAAAAATGATTAACTCAAATTGCTTATAAATCTAAATGAATGACTTCTTATAACATACCTTTAAAACAAAGCAGTAGTCAGTGGGCGCTTTATATTTCATTTTATGCTGAGTCCCATAGTAAATGTTGACATTTTCGAACTGTATAAAACATGCCAGATCTCGAGATGTCTGAAAGACAGGGAAAAAAATAAAACTTCAACTGAGATAATCCAGAGTTGTCCTTCACGGCATAACTAAGGATTACGTTTTAGTAAAGAAAATATTGACTTTTAGGTAATTTATATAAACATCTGCCATGTATGGTTCTTCTCAAAGGCAAGTCTGAAAGGTTGGAATGGAAACAGATATGGCCAAATTGGGGGACAATTTAGTAAGATCTATGCATAAATCTTTCCCAGTATAAAAGATATTGAATGTTCCCAACACAAAGAAAGGATAAATGTTTAAGATGATGGATGTGCTAATTACCTTGATCTGATCACCATACATCATATGTATCAAAACATCACTGTGTACATTGTGCATATGTACAATTATTATTTGTCAGTCAAAAAATAAAATTAATTTTTAAAAAAGAGTACAGCCAAGGAAAATCGGTGCCACTGACCCAGAAATGGAGTGAAAGATTATACTGCTGTTCTAATGCCTATCTGGGGACTCCCAGAGTCAGGATGGACTGTCCTTGAGATGTCATTATTGATGCAGTCGAGACAAGGTGACTGCTTAGCCAGAAATTTCATTTTGATTTTTGCCATTCTAAGTCCGTGATGGATTTTGTGATTGAGCATTAAAAAAAAAAGTCCCCCTCAGGAAGAACAATGAGAGATAAACTTATGCTCAGTAAATTAGCACACACTTCATGCACTTCCTCCTGAGAAAAAGGATTTCTTTCACAAGTTCTCTTTACTGCAGGCAGTGTTGCCATGGAAACAGAGACCTCTCCTCCACGGATAACAGGCACTGTGAAGGCTGCAGCCTGTAATCTACATATTTGGTTACACTTCAATTACAAATGTGTTGCATTATTTTTTCTTTTGCCTTCTATAATTCTTTACCTAGTTAGTGAATAGATTAATAGATGGCAGAACTATTTACACCTTAGTGCACAATTATTTCTTTACATATGCTTGTACATTCTTTTCTTGCAAGATATTTTCTTCTGGATGTTCAAAGTTTACATTCTTAAGTTACAAACTAAGGCATATTAGTCACAATTTAAAAATATATATATATATTTAAATAATAAAATGCATATCTTCCTTTACCACCCCTTTTTCTTATTTTGTTCTTTTCTCCAAATGTACCATAGTTAATAGTTTGGTAGTATTCTATTCTATTCTATTCTGTTCTATTTCCCCACGTTGCCCAGGCTGGTCTTGAATTCCTGAGCTCAAGCGATCCGCCTTCCTTGGCCTTCCAAAGTGTTTGGGATTAGAGCTGTGAGCCACTGTCCCCTGCCTTCTTTTTCTTAACATTGCATCTAGGAGTCTTTCTATATCAAGACACATGAATTAATAGATGACATTCATTTTATGACTGCAGAGAATTCTACTGTACAGGGGTAATGATTTATTTAACTATTCTACTACAGAGGATTAGAAGTTATTTCAATATTTAGCTATTACAACAAATACTGTGCATATGCGCTTATATTTCTGTGAGATAGATTTGTCAAGCATGGAGCTGCCAATTGAAAGGATTTTTCCTCCCTTTTACATTTACATAGATTTTGCTAAATTGTCCCCCAGTTTGGCCGTATGAGTTTCCATTCCAACCTCCTAGGTGTGAGTGTCCCTTTTTCTTACCCACTTCCACCAAAATTTGGATATTGTCTATATTGTTTATTGTATCAATCTCATGTTTAATTTACATTTCCTGATTACTAGTGAGACGGAGCAACTTTTAGTTATGCGGTGGCTACCAGTGCTTCTTTTTCTGTAAATTTTCCCTTTAATGCTTTGCCATTTTTCTGTAAGTATATTTATCTTTTTCTTATTGATTTGTTGAAGTCTTTATATTTTATGGATATTCATACTTGTTTATACATGTTGCAAATGTACTCTGTCACTGTAGTCAGTCTTTCACTTCTTGTTTTTATCTTTGGCCATAAGGTATTAAAAATAACTTTATAAGGTCAAATCTGTCCATTTTTTCCGTTATAATTTTGAGTTTTTATTCTTGCTTAGGAAAGCTTTCTCCAGCTCAAAATTATAAAAACATTAACCTATATTTTCTTTCTTTCCCTCTCTCCCTCCCTTCCTTCCTCCCTGCCTTCCCTCCCTCCCTCCCTCCCTTCTTTCCTTCCTTCCTTCCTTCCTTCCTTCCTTCCTTCCTTCCTTCCTTCCTTC